TTCAGGATCCCACAAAGCAGGACGGATTTGCACTGCACATGAAGGTTCAAATCTAAAGTCATGCAGAGCATCATTATTAGCATCATGAAACAATTAGCTGAGTACCAGGTTTGGCTTTTGCCAAATGCTCTAGTGGTAATAGACCTGCTGAATCTTTCTGCGTTGCTACGCACTATTAACTCTCGCAGCGTAGTCCTTGCAGTAGCAGTAGATACTGATTTAACATCTGAAAAGGTGTCACGCTGTTGCCGGTTTTACAAGATCACTGGCTACCTCTTCAATGGGTCTTTGCTTCCATGGCTAACTAAGCGTATCACTGCGACCGTCATCTGCAAGTACCATTAGTTGTTTCTAAAGTATCAGGTTCTGACATTCTAGCTGGTTGGCTGTCCTCCTTTTTCAATGTCATTCGCCAATTACAGCACTGCCCAGCCGACATGACCACTGGAATTATTGTGCCAATATATAAAAATGGCAAACCGAAGGGAGCCCCAAAGATTTACAGACCAGTAATGCTATTGTCAGTGGTTCGGAAAGTCCTTACAACCATAATCACAAAGAGAATTAGCACCAAAATTCAGCAATTTGTGGACGAGTCACAAGCCGGTTTCAGACCTGGTCGCTCAACGGCTAATGGGGTTTTCTGTTTGTGGTCTCTGTGTGAGAGAGCTTTGCTAGGAAATTGGAACTATTCCGCAGCATTACTAGATTTCAGCGGTGCATTCAACACAGTGAACCATGGCAAGGCGCTTGATCGAATGGCCGCTTCGGGTGTACCCACCTCAATGATGAAATTGCTAGTCTCCGATACGACAGCTAGGGTGAAGATTGCCCGGCAGCTCAGTGCTCCCTTCTCGACCAAAATCGGCGTGGTTCAGAGAGACCCGATGTCTCCGGCCATGTTCATTGTCTACGCAGAAGGTGCGATGAGGCAGGTGTGAGAAGCCTGCACCTCCCATTCATGCCTGCCTACTCATTTCTCACAGTATGCAGATGACACCACAATATATGACACTGATCGTGATGCTGTGGTTGGCGCTGCAGCGAAATGTGAGCCAATTTTCGCCCAGGATGACCTGAGATTAAATCTAACAAAAACTCAATGTGTAAGTCCTTCGAAGGATGATGACGCATGGAGAAAGACGAAACTACTTGGAAGTCTCTTGGGATCTGGAAGTGAGATCGAGAACCGTATCAATGCGGCTAATCGAGCGTTTGGCACTATAGCCTGGAAAAGACACACTATATTATCTAGATTGCCTTTGTTTACCACACTTATCCTTCCGGTTCTATTATACAACTGTGGCCTGTGAACCTTGACAGTAGCACTCGGCAACAGAATCGATACGTGGCATCGCCGCAAACTAGCTACTATGATCCATTTTTGGCGTAGTGTATCCCCAAATAATATTGAATAAAAACTTATACAAGCTGTCCAGCCAATTGCCTATCACCAGAAGATGCAGGGAACGGCGCTTGTTATGGTTCGGCCAAGTAATCAGAGAAGGCAGTGACTCATCATCCTACAAAGCTCTAAGACTTTCACGTGACACCAAAGACATCAAGAAGCCCAGAGGACGCCCCGTAACTAGATGGATCGACAACATCAAGAATGACTTAAAGACAATAAACGTTTCCATTGCCGAAGCGGAAGCTATCTCTCAAGACAGGGAAGCTTGGCTCGGCATTGTGAATCAATGTACGAACTCATCATGCCTAAAATATCTGCGCTTACTCAAATATTTGAAACTCGGGTATTGAGCCAATAATAAAAGTAGAAAGGAAAAGGACATAATTATGGAAACGAGTTAAGAGTAACTCTCCACCACTGTAACTAGATACTATATACAGTCAGAAAGTGCAACAACTAGGCACAAAACTGACAGAGTACTGAGACATTCGACGTCCTGACACCTAGCTTCAACACATCTCCGTAGCGCTAACCGACAGCCTTCCAATTTGGAAGGTTCAAGGTTATGGAAAGACCAAAGAGGGGAAGGCAAGCGCAACGAAAACGAGCACAAGCTACAGTCTCAACGGAACAAAGAATGTCGATTGTCACTGGACGATGACGAGACCAGTAGGCGATTTGACAAAGCGGTCTAACTACAATTCGAAGCAGCAAAGCAGCACACCACCCAACTTGGGTGGGTCAAAAATATCAAAGATAAGTTAAGAAGGGGGAAGCTTTGCGAGAACGAATTGTACAAGCCGAAGTCTAAACTCCTACAGTACTCCTCATGCATGACATTGTGATGGACTAGTTGACTACAAAACAAGTTGTTTCACACGACGTACGTTTCGCCGTATGGTTCGTGACGGCTCATCAGTGTCAGGACGTCGAATGTCTCAGTACTCTGTCAGTTTTGTGCCTAGTTGTTGCACTTTCTGACTGTATATAGTATCTAGTTACAGTGGTGGAGAGTTACTCTTAACTCGTTTCCATAATTATGTCCTTTTCCTTTACTCAAATATCTTTTTGATAAATAACATTCTGTACTTAATATTATATTCCCCATGCCTAGGCTCATGGTGGAATCGATGTAGTTTTTCCTGCAATAACAGAATGGCGAAGATGTGTATGTCATGTATTTCTCGTTTTCTCTAATTTTTTTGCCGACAGAGGCATTAGCCCCATGGGTGATCCCCCCCCCCATGAGGTACATGCGAGCTGTTATTTTTATTATCATTATTATTATTAAAGTACCATCCCGAGTTCGCCCTCTCTTATCTGGTGTGCGCAAGTACAGCATTCTGGCCCATACTCTCTCCTTTGTGTACGATCCCGCTGATAGTTATGTTGCCCAATGCAGTGGTGTCGTGTACCGATGCTCATGACAAAGCCTTTCACTATTCTTCCATCAGCCAGTACTTCTGATCGGTGCTGCGATCACCTGCAGACTGATTGCATGACCTTTGCTGTGGAACAAAACTTGGCGGTTAAAGTTTGAACTTACAAAATCCCTAACATTTACTATCTTTGAATTCGGATGGTGAGCCAATTTAATTATGTCAAATAAGGAGCAGGACAACATGTTAAGAGTGATGAATACCTGTCTACCAACATAACCAGATCATATACAGTCAGCGAGTGCGACAAAATGGCACAAAACTGACGAGGAGTACTGAGACATTTCCGAGCCTCATCCTGCAGAGTTGGAAGGTTATTGGTTTGTACCTTGGAGACATGTTGGAATTACGTGTCAGGTCGCTGAATGTCTCACTTCTCCTTGTCAGTTTTCTGCCATTTTGTCGCACTTCCTGACTGTATATAATCTGTTTATGTTGGTGGACAGTTAGTCATACAACGAAACATTTTGTCTTTCCCCTTTTTACCATAATTAGATTGGATCACCATCCGAGTTCGAGTTCGCACACCTTTTGAGCCGTCCTGACATATACGGCGAAACGTGCGTCGCGTGGAACTACTTTATTCTTTATCCAGTAACTTTCGGAATTCTTTGTTGCCGTGGGGCGTAGCTCGTGCTCTTCTTCGTTGCACGTTCCTTCCCCTCTTGGACTGTTCCGAACCGGATCCTTCCAGTATACAAGGCATTCGTTCGTCCCCTGCTGGAGTACGCCCCACTTATCTGGATTGGAGCGTCACCCAGCCAACTCAGCCGACAGGACCGAGTCCAGCACAGCGCCCTCAGAATCATCGGTCCGGGAGCAATCCTGCCCAGTATGGCAATCAGACCGACAGTAGCTGCCCTAGCTTGTTTATACAAGCTACAAGTAATTACGGGCCCACCTCAACACCTTGCGGTTCTGCCAGGTCGCCGTCAGCAGTTGGCCACCCCGTGAACCCGGAGCGACCATGCCAGCGCTGCCGGCCACCAGTTTCACCTGGACGCCAGCCTCTACCCCGTTAGTCCTGAAGCGATCATTTTCCCACTGTATGCTCCACCAGTGGAATGCATTGCCCTGTGATCTGCTCCTGCATCCTCCCCATCACAGCCGAATGCAGGCATTCAAGACGCAGGTATACCGCTACCTGCGCGCCGAGAACTGAATGTGGACTACTGACACAGTCTAATCGCACCTATCTAGTATCTACATGTAGGTATTGCTCTCTTTTTCCATGTTTCCTCTACTCTCTGTCTTCAACTCGGATGGTGCCACCATCCAATTAAATTATGGTGAAAAAGGAGGACAACATGTTACGAGTTATGCCTAACTGTCCACCTACGTTGGTAGACAGTTACTTTTATCACAGACTTTACGGTAGTCATAACTCGTAACATTTTGTCCTTCCCCTTTTTTACTCGAATATTCGATCGGAGAAAATCAGAGTACTCGAACTCGGGATCTCAGTGCCAGCTTTCACCCCCCCCCCCCCCCAGTCTTCAGTAATAACGGAGGAGCCGCACATAGTACAAAGTAAAAGATATAGAGGCACCAGGAAACAGTTCTTACCTACCGTGCTTGTCACAGACATTTTTGATAGTGTGTCTACCCCTCAATTGAACGTCAGCTTTTGCTCGCGAGTCATTCTACTGTTTGTTTGGTTTAAGCAATTAGTCACGCAAAACAAAAACAGTTGAAATGGATAGCGCTAGACGGTTAGTGTTCAGGTCTTTAGTGAGAGAATGTGGGTGGCTGTAGTAGAGAGGAAAAGTACCATTCATTACAAAGAGTGATCGTATTCTTGAAACCACGATGGCTCACTGATAAAAAGTATAAAACGAAAGCGCTCCAAGGAGATCAATGTGTTTTATGGTGGCGAAGGAACTGGAGCAATGCCCATTAAATGGCAAACACTCACTTAGTGAATGTGTGCAGTAATATTATGTTAAACAAAGCATCGATGGTTTGTAGACTCTCGCGACTGAGAATCCAATGGCATGCTGATTCTCTGCAAAGGAATTGTAAGCGTGGAAAGAGGTCTTAACATTTCTAAAGACATTATGAAAAGAGGAAACTAGTTAAGACGTGCAGTATGTTGCATTTGGATGCAAATGAGCGCAGTGTGTGGAATGAATCTAGTAGTGCCTTGGGTTTTATCCACGCTTTCTTAGCTTCATTTCCACAAACTTCAAACTCTTGAACCCGAAATGCACGTACACTGCACCAGCTGTGGCTCCATCACTACGTCCATACAATCCATTGACATTGACAAAGTAACAGGCGTTATACCACCAACCACCCTTCGATGAATTAGAACAGTCTCCATCGCCAGAGTCATGGTCACGATCTCGAGTACTGAACTGTTGTCCATTGTGGTACTTCATTCCGTCTACCAATGTTGGGCTTGAGAATTCTGAAACATGTAGTGTGTAATTGTTAGCTTCCCCTTCAACACGGAATGTTGACCACTTGGCATAATGCTTCTCTCCAGTTGTATTGAACACCATATCAATACGCAGTTCATAAGTACTATGAGCTTGTGACGTCAGATAGTGTAGTGTATCTAGACCCAGCCAGAACTCTCCAGACGCTGATCCGAAACCTCGTTTGTATGCATTCCAGTCACGGTAAAAGTCCACTGAGCCATCTTGTCTTCTCTGAAACACAGTCCAGCCACCTCCATCAGTCTCTCGATCACAGTAAGCAGTGAATCTTGTTGTCTGTGTTCTGCCATTGAATACACCTGACGGACCAGAGTCGGTTCTCTGACAGAGAAATGACACTGCAGAATGAGGAATCAGAATAGTAAATGTAGAAAAGAAAAAGGACATATGGATACGAGTTAAGAGTAACTCTCCATCACTGCAACTGAATACTATATACAGTCAGAAAGTGCAACAACTATGCACAAAACTGACAGAGTACTGAGACATTCGACGTCCTGACACCTACCCTCAACACATCTCCGTAGCGCTAACCGACAGCCTTCCAACTTGGAAGGTTCAAGGTTATGAAAAGACCAAAGAGGGGAAGGAAAGCGCAACAAAAACGAGCAAAAGCTACAGTCCCAATGGAACAAAGAATGTCGATTGTTACTGGACGATGACGAGACCAGTACGATATTTGACAAAGCGGTCTAACTACAATTCAAAGCAGCTAAGCAGCACACCACCCAACTTGGGTGGGTCATAAATATCAAAGATAAGTAAAGAAAGGGGAAGCTTTGCGAAAACGAATTGTACAAGCCGAAAGCCAAACCCGTACAGTACTCCTCATGCATGACAGTTCGCGGACGACAGCATGCTGTACCTGAGCCACGCTAGCGCTCACGCCATCAACATCATCCTTTTCGCAGCAGTGTCGGCTGTCGCCAGGCTTCTCGATGCAAAAGGGCTTATCCTCAACACTGGAAAGACGCAAGTGCTTGCAATCAAAGCTGGACAGCAGGCACACCTCGACCTCCACATTACTTGCACTGGCACTGGAAGCTGCGGATCCTCCCCCAGATCCGGCACTGCCTAACAGTGCGGCAGGCGATGCTGTATTACTCTGCCCTTGTCATACCGGACATTCTCTATGCGTCGAATGCGTTTCTCCCTGGACTGTCCGCTGAGCAGCGGAACACAGTAGCTAAACTGGATAAACGTTGAATCCGTTGCGTGGCCGATGAGCACCCATTGGCCCACACTCTTCCGTGTACACCAGGCTAGGTGTCTGCCCAGTGCTGGAACGAGGGGAATGCAAGCTCCGACTCCTGACATTTAGAATCCGTTCTGGAATCGTCAGTGAGCTGTTGTCGTCCGGAATTGTATTGCAAGGCCCGCCCACAGGCATGACCACTCGAGGTCAGTTGGGACGCAACCTTCCCCTCCCCCTGGCCCACAGTGCTTCTGGCGCATGCCGACCGCTTCTAGCCAGCTTCCGACTCTGGAATGGCCTTCCCGACTCTGGAATGCCCTTCCCGACTGTATGAAGTCCATAGTACCTGTTCGTGAATTCAAACGCATGCTACGCGTATTTTACTTCGGGTAAATGTAATGGCTTTCGTATCCTGCTGATGAGGCTCGATAGAATCATGCAACGATGACCCGACTTGTAAATTTGAGATCCAATTTTTTCTGTTCGTCTTGACCCTGCCTCCCCTCATTGCTACTTCCATTTTCGTATTTTTATTTATATTGATTTTTCTCTTCATTTCTGACTCTTCTTACTAGTTGTCATCGCTTTCATAATATTATTGGGCAGAACTGCAAGTTTGACATGCGATGTAAAATAAATAAACAACAACAACAACAACAGTGCTCCACCCCACCTTCTTTCAACTAATAAATGATTGCATTTTACCTTCTTGATTTTCCTGGACCTCGTTCAGCCTTTCATTCTGTGGTAATTCCAAACAAGAAGAATCAACACTGTAACTTAAAAGATTTGTAAAGAAGAGGTTATAATTAGATTTCTGATGATCACCGATTTGATTTGCTTTTCAAAATGCACAAAATTATATAATAATTATGACTGTTTGGGGGTTCTCCCGTTTCGTCTCACTGGAATCAGTAGTACCAGCGGCTGAAGGAAATGGTGTCTTCGATCCCGAGGCTAACAACTCAGTTGTAGAATATTGCTGTCAAACCGAAGGTCTACAATTATTTTAAATTACACATCCCCAGTTTCATGTATACACCAGCCACTGCTCTCTGTTAGAATTGCAAACGAATGCAATCCTTGCATCGACAGCTATCCTGCATAAGGGGGTGGAAGTCTCAGCTGTGAAGGACGTTGGCGGATGTTCATGCATGTCGATGACGATACTGGCCAGACATAGCCAAAGTACAGTGCTGTTTTACTGAGGCAATCGGTTTTGCACGATTATTGTTCGCATAGCTTCCCTTTCAATTCTATTGATCTTCGCGTCTTTGAGTCACACAAGTTGTATGGAATGTTCCTTGCGTCCTTGAACCGGGGTTTGACCGTATTGTGGTCTTGCCAGTATCGTCATCGACATGCATGAACATCCGCCAACATTCCTTCACAGCTGAGACTTTCAGCTTGTGCTTGTCTTGGTTGTGCTCACCTTGCCCGCCTCATATTATTTCTATAACTTAGAACCTTCCAACCTGGGAGGCTGTTGGAGTGCGCATCCAAGATGTGCTAGAGCTGTTAGCCAGTTAGTTGTAGAACATCAGTACCGCCGGTCAATGTCGTACAATGTTATCGCATGAGCTGATTGTTTGGTAACTGGTGGTATTAGTGGACATTATACCGTAACTTGTAGTTTCTTGGTCCTTTTTTCTTTACTATCATTTCACCTAACATCATTAAGAATTATTATCATAACAATGATGCACGTTCCACCTTTTGTGACTGAATGCTTGGACGGTGGGTGCCATTCTCCAGGCTTCGGACGACTGCTGATGAATATTCATCAATATTACAAGCAAACACGTCTGTATGTCATTGTTTGGATTGTATACTGGGAGATTTCATGCACTCATGAAGCCTTCACTAACTTGTAGGGGAAGTGAGCCTAACTTACATCAACTCTGATTCAGTCATTGCAAAGTTACTTATAGCTAGGCCCCAGCGGCAAATGCTAGCACCCAAAGTAGCATAAAAGGACCTTTTTGTGACTCCACACGATGCTAGCATAAACAGCAGTTTTTACCGGCATCCGATACATTTTTGCCCATTTTGGCATTCTGGATATGAAATTCGGTCTAGATTACACTATGAAACTAGTATTACGGTACTACCACATTGATATTTGTATGCACTACATTCAATTTGCTTGCATTACCTTTTTTTTTTCACTTGTCAGAAACTAAACGCTCTCTCTCTCTCTACTTTTATAATTCAGACAAGCAACAGATTAGTGCGGATGCAGTTTTTGCCTCTCCTGAGATTTGAAATTTTCCATCGTGTAGGTTCATTCTACTGGCACGTAGCTTGCCCTATTACCTTCCATTTGACTTTTTAAGTCGGCTGCAGTGGTTTTATCGGTGGTGATTTGGCCTGCTCTGCTATTCTTGAGACCCAGGTGATTAATTGTCCTGCCGGTTCTCCATTGACATTGTAGTTTTAGGCTGCCCTCCCGTTTGTTGAAGCTGGGTAGCTGTGTGTAGCCTTCCTCGTCGGCCGGGTGTGCTTTGGAGACGCTAGTTGCCACACCGACTACGTTGTTGTCACGGACAAGCCCAGTGTGCTGTTTGCTGTTTGCGCACCTGGCTTGGCATTCACACTTCTGTTCGATGCTGGGACTAGTGTAGTAGTGAGAGGCGTGAGGGGCGCGCGCTGTTGAAACCACGTCAACACAGCTACAGAGCAATCATGTCGTTCGAGGGGATGGTGCGGGCCTTGGAGGCTCTAGCTGGAACGCCAGCAAGTGCTGCCTCTCTGGAACGGAGGCATGTTCGTGCGAGTGCTGTCAGGGATTGCGCACATGTACAGCCTCGACCTGTGTTTGAGCTGGGAGAGCTGTCGGAGTCACCTGAGAGTGTTGCTTCCAGCGTTGGCGTTGGTACCGGTCGAAAGTCGCCGACACAGCTCCCCGCACCGGACTCTGTTGGCATCGTAAATGCAGACCACCTCATGAAACAGTTCCGCACCTGTATGAGCGATCTTTTAGAAGAGCGCATGGAAACGGTCCTAGATTCCATTGCTCGTATCCGTGAGGAGGTGTCAGCCGTCAGTAACTCGTTCAATGGCTTGGATACTCGACTCAATATTCTTGAAAGAAGGCTTGAGAAGACGTATACCGGACCCTTGGAGCAAGCGATCAGGTTGCAAGGCGAAGAAATCCGACGTGTGGCTGCTAGCACGGACGTAACTTGCAGTCGAGTAAGAAAGCTGGAGGAGTGCCTGGCCGGCACCCAACCAGCCTGTACCAGTCCTTCACCGCGGGTGCATCCACGGCCCGCGCAGGCTGTGGGTGCGTGCCAGGCGCAGATGCACCCCCACTCCTACTCCAGGGCTGCGGCTGCGCCGGCTACCGATGGCTTTCGTGCCAAGGCTGCCCAGGCTGCACCAGACAGGACGAATGCAGGCTCAGTAACGGAGCCCGCACTTCAGGCAACGGTGACATCTTGCTATCAGCGCCCTGCACGCAAGCACGACCGGTTAAGGGGTGCCAGTCGGCTAAGGTGCAAGGCCGTCTACGTTGGCCGTGTTGATGTCGGTTGCTCGGCAGGTTCAATCGCTAAATGGTGCGAGGACCGCAGTGTGACTGTCATCAAATGCTCAGTATCTGCGGCACGGTATTTTGGTCTGGCGTATGCCCACCTTGTTATTTCGGAGGAGCATTGGCAGAAGGTCCAGAGTCTAGACTTCTGGCCAAGTGGCATTTCGGTTCGTGAATGGCGCTTCAAATCAGACCGCATCACTCAAGAGAACTGAGTGCGTCGCTCAATCCACTTGCGCCACCATTCCTTCCTGATTCTGGACGACAAACTAATAAAACTCCCAATCTTAACCCCCTTGCTGACTCATTTAGTCCGTCAGTTCCACTACCTTCTCCTACCCACCCAAGTGCACTTCGCGTTCTATTTCTCAACATCAGGAGCCTGCGTAACAAACTCAATGACATCCTACTGCTCACACAACAACTCAACGCCCCGGATATAGTCTGTGTCAACGAAACCTGGCTCGACGCCACTGTTTCGGACCAAGAAATAGCCCTGACTGGATATAGTGTAACACGCAGAGACCATAGTGGTAGAGTAGGAGGAGGAGTTTGCATATACTGGAAGTCATGTCTTCCGGTAAAACCAAGAGACGACATAACAACTGATGGTGTGGAAAGTTGCTGGTGTGAAGTCGCTTGCAGGCCCCGCAGTTGTCTTGTTGGAACGATCTACCGCCCTCCATCTGAACCTGTGGGTTACTGGGACAAGCTAGACGAACATCTTTGCGCTGCTCTAAGGCCACAGCCAAATGCTATCGTTTGTGGTGACTTTAATGTGAATATTGACCTAAGTGCCAGGGACCCTCAGTATCACTACTTATCTGACTTGCTGAACAGCTATGCTCTGCATCACGGTGTCAACAAGTCTACGCGATTTAGCTCAACAGGACAAGACAGCACCCTCGATTTGATACTGAACAATTTTGATCCTTCCACTACAGCGAAGATCATCCCGGTCGCTTTCAGTGACCATGCTGCCGTGGCCAGTGACTTTCACCTCATTGTGCCTCGTGGATCTGACACCACACGTTTATACCGCAACTATCACCGGATAAACCACGATCACTTCCGGCGTGACTTAACCCAGAAGAACTTGTGTAGTATTACCGGCAACCCAAGCGCCATGTGGACCGAGTGGTCTAGCCGGTTTATTGAGGTTTTGGATGTCCATGCCCCACTTCAAAGAAATCACAGAACGAAGAACCCTTCAGTGCCGTGGATTGACCGGCAATTGTTGTACTTACTACACAAGCGGAATAGGTTGCACCGAAAGTGGCTCTCTGCTAAGACACAGGAGACTTATGCTGAATTTAGTACAGCCAGACGTGCGGCAACTAGCTACAACAGGACCCGGAAACAGGAATTCTACAACTCCAAATTTCAGCAATGTACTGGAAATGCCAGAGAGACTTGGAAAATAATCAAGAAGTTGACAGGCAAACAGTCGACGTACAGGGATCCACAGTGCACGGTGGATGCGATTCGAGACACTTTTTCGAAAGTTGTGGAAGATCCAGCTCGCCCTGCACAGCTACGCCTACCCCTTGGGCCTCCACCTGCGGTGCACTTCTCGGAATTCTTGCCAGTCTCCATTGCAACTACTCGGAAAATGTTGGAACAGTTGGACACCAGAAAAGCCACTGGGAGTGATGATATTCCAGCAAGTCTCCTCCAGATGCATGCTGACATCCTGGCACCGTCACTCACGCTACTATTTAATAAGTCATTGAGAGAAGGACAGTTTCCTGCGGCAATGAAGGTGGGTAAGATACGGCCTCTGTTCAAGGCTGGAGACCCCAGCCAACCCAAGAATTACCGACCAGTCTCCCTATTGCCGATAGTGTCGAAAGTGCTTGAACGTATTGTTCATAAGCAGCTTCTGCAGTACCTCAACACGAACAATTTCTTGCCTACTAGTCAGTTTGGTTACAGACACCAGCATTCCACAGCAGATGCCTTAGCGCTAGCTGTAGAGAACATCAATGAAGCACAAGCCGCTGGGCAGCACACAGGAGTAGCATTTGTCGACATGTCTAAAGCTTTCGACAAGGTAAAGCATAGCATTCTGGTTGAGGACCTCTTTGAACTGGGTCTCACTAGCACTGCTTTGCAATGGTTTTCAGACTACTTGATGTATCGCCGGCAATACGTGGAGACAGGAAAAACCAGAAGTACAACTTATGACAGCCAGTCAGGGGTTCCTCAGGGGTCAGTTCTCGGACCTTTGCTCTTCGTTCTGTATGTGAGGGATATTGCCGGCGACCTTGCCCCTCATGACGTCACCACTATTCAGTTTGCTGATGACATCTCGCTGCGTGCGAGCAGTCCACAGCCAGAAGTTGTCTCCCAGCGCCTCACTGCAGCAGTTCAGTACCTGGCCACTTGGTTGAAGAAACGTGGACTGATCCTTAACGAGACCAAGACGCAGATACTCGCCATACCACACCATAGAGCTGCAGCCCTCGACATCAATGTTGTATGCAATTCACAAGTCCTACCAGTAGTCACATCTGCCAAATACCTTGGCCTGCATTTTGACTCGGACATGAGTTGGACCACAATGGTGGACCATGTTGCTCGTCGTGTTGCCGACAAAATTGCTGTCCTGCTGCGACATGCTTCCTCGCTGCCGTATCCATGCCGACTCACCTACTTCAGATCTATCGTTTTGCCTGAATTTTTGTATGGTTCTATTAGTTACTACCCGTATTTGACAGTTGCCCAGGAACAACGGCTACATAGGCTGTTCAAACGTGCCGCTCGGGCAGTCTGCAAGTCGCCACCGTGGACCAGTACTGCTCCCCTGCTAAATCGAATGCATGTATGTGATCTACAGGTTTCTGTGCACTTGAATATGTTGTGTTTCATCTGGCGATGTTTTCATGATGCATGTAGCACCCTGTTTGAGTCCTTGTTTGCTGTCGTGCCCTCAACTCGCACTCGGGGAGGCCAAAGCAACTTGCTTGTGGTCCCACCTGCTAGCACTGCTCGTTCTGCTAAGCGCCTAACGCACGCTGGAGCCATTATGTGGAATAGATTGCCACCAGCAGCAAAATATTCAAATAGGTATTTGGATTTTAAATCTCAAGCCTTGCAGTATATATTATCAGCGACATAGGTTTTCCAATGCTTACTGGATTGATATCTGTTCGTTGCAACCAACCTTCCGTCATTTTTTCCTTTCTCTTTTTCTCTTGTATCTACTTTTTTTTTTTTTTTTTTTTTTTTCTCCACAATATCCTTTAACATGTTATTCACAGTGGGTCCAATGTTATTAGGCATTTTGCCTGTTTTGATTTCCACTATAAATAACGTATACAACAATTACCTAGTTGTGACCAAGACCCACATTGCCATTGGTACTTCTTGGTATTTGCTCTTTTGTATTGCAAATATTTCCATAGCAACATGATGCCAACATCGCACTTTTAAAAACTCTTTTTACATACCTGCTTTGTGAGAATTCATAAATAGCACGGAACACCGTTTTCAACCCAAATGTTTCACCATTACCATTAATAGGTAGCATAATTCGTGTTGTCTAGCATCCAAACTAGCATCTTTCTGAGTTGTCAGCTAGCATCCCAAAAAGCATCTTGGCAACATTTAGCTAGCATCTGCCGCTGGGGCCTACTTATAGCTGGGTAAGCACATGTTTTACTACTACTACTTATTTTTTTTTACAAATATTGTTTTTATTCCATTTCACATTTTTCATTCGTGTTGGGTTTAACTACTCACTGTACTGATACATGGTGATGATTGTGCTTTGCTTTGCCCGTAAAAGAGGCCTTCCCTATACATGTTTTACTAGTACAATTGACGCAATCCGCCATATCATGAACTTACCAGGGCGGTAACCTGAGATGACATCTGATTCATAGTGGAGTTTACATTAGTAAGGATCTTCGTACCCAGTTGTTGAAGATATGAATCAATACGATTGATATCATTCTGTCTTCCAGCACGTAGTTCATGTTTCAGTTGTGAAACATCCTCACTGACTTGATGTAATGTGTTGGATTGCTGTTTAAACTTAGCTTCGTC